AATGTAATAATTACACATAATATTATAGCAGCATCCCGTTCCTCATTATGTGAGGACTTTGAAGAATCAGTCTTACCACAGATCCAAAGACCATTGGTTTTTGAGGTGGAATATAAATGGGTTTTACCTTCAACAACTTTGGTATAAAGGCCCCAAAGTTTTTTGGAAGCATGTACTTTGAGTGTAAGCTTTATTCTTACATGAAGGCTTTCATAAGGAAATAAGCAGGGAAATAAAACCAGGCAGTGATTTGGCCACATGTTCTTGCATTTGCTGTGATGGGTTTTTCATCTGAAACTGCCCCCAGGCCCCATGCCGTTTCAGTTACTGGCGTCATACAGCAGTTGCACAGTATTAATTTCACAACAGTCAGCAGGTGCTGTGACGTATGGTGTCAGCAAATCATATTTAAATGCACAGCTACTGCTGGAGAAAAGATCATGCTTAGGAGTGTCTGGAGCTATTTTCACTTACTGAGCCAAGTCCTTTTCATTCATGTCCATGGTCCTACTAAAATCAGTGGGTTGTGATATGAGGTTATCCTGCTGTTTTTATAGTCACTTACACTGGTGAAAAATGGGTGTAAAACACTTCCAAATCAGAATGGCAGGGCTTGATTCCTGTTTATACTAAAACCCTTTTCACATCACTTTGGCAGAACAAAGGTCTTAAAGGAGCTGTAAAATACTTATAAATTTGAAGGATGTGAAGCAAATGGACTCAAGGTATTTGACAGCCGCTTTCAGAGAATCATACGGTTGGAAGGGATCTCCAGGATCATCTAGTCCAGTGACCTTTGCTTTGTAATGCTGCTGTGCTTCATACACAAAGTGTGTGTTTTTTTGTGTAGGGTAACAGGTATGAGAGAATCAAATTCAGGGGGGTGACTTCTAGGATTAAAGTGAGCAGAATTAGACCTTTGCTTGGTTTCAGCTTCAAATAAGAAAGACATAGTTACAGGAAATGTTATGAAAATAAGAACAAAGGGGCAAATATTTCAGTTTTCCTGCAGAAAAGACTCCCATAGTTTTCATTGCAAGTGCCCTGTCAAGCCAATTGCTATGACCTACGTGGCTCTGAGTGGATGCAAGGACTTGTTTGAGTTCATGGCAAGTCAAGAGTGCATTGAACTGTGTAGCTTCTTTCATTTTCTAGCACCTTGTAGGTGATTTTTGAAGCTGTCCAATGCCATTATGAAGGAGTTATAAATAATTTCCCTTTGGAAATACTGTTCTGCTCTTGCTACATCTTGCTTTCACAGGTCTCAAGCATCCCAGCCACTAAGGGAAGTCTTTGGGTTCTAGTGGCATAAGACACCTTTGAAAGTCAGAGCCATTGACTGATTCAAATACTTGGGTCTGATTCTGTTTTGAAATCAGGAAGTGTCTCTAAATGGAGTTTGGGAGTATAAGAGAAAAAGCCAGTGTGAAGTGCAGTAGTTATACTACTGTGCATGAATAATGGCTGTTGAATTCCATAGTGGTTTTTGTTTAACAAAGGATCTTCACAGGAGGATATAATCAGGGTCCCAGGTTTATGTGTAAAAATGAGAATGGGAGAATAACCCTTTCCTATGAACATGAAGAGAGGCTTGGGAATGCTTTGATACCTCAGCTAGTACTCTCTGATTCATGTCTCCTCACAAAAGAACATAATAAGAAGCTACCCAAGAGAAACAAAACATAAGTAAACAGAGAAGATTTATGTTGGTGAGAAGCAAGGTTCCCTCTAAGGTGTGCACGTGCGCGGCTGTGCACAACTAGAAGTGTGCCTGCGCACAGCTTTTTCAAGGCTGCGCACCAGGAGAGGCCTCAGGGGGCATGTTCTGCAGTGTCCTGGAGCCAGCGGAGCCTCACTCGGGGCAGGCAGCGGCTCCTCCCCAAGGTGAGGCAAGGCAGGGATGGAGGCTGGGGCGGGGGGCTGGCGCAGGCTCCACTGGCTCCAGGGAACTGCTCCACTCCCCGGCCCTGATGCTGGGGAGCAGAGCACCTCCCTGGAGCCGGCGGAGCCCCCTCTGGCCCTCCAGCCCCAGCCTCCAGCCCCTGGTCCCTAGCCCTAGCCTCTCAGCTCTAGCCTCTGGCCCCTCTCCCCAGCCTCTTGGCTCCAGCCTCTGGCCTCCAGGCCCCAGCCCCCGGCCTCCAGCCCCCTTTGATAAATGTCCCACGCTGGATCAAGGCAGCATGCTCATGGACCGCTACTCCTTAGAGGGAACATTGGTGAGAAGGAGACATAGGGAGTTTATTTCTGAAGGGGGACTTTAAAAATAAACACAATTCCTCTCCCTCCAGCATCTATATTCTATACTAGCCAACTGCCCATCAAGAATGATGGGCGGCGGGCAAGGGGAGGGGGCTGGGGTGGAGTGCTGCCACATAATGCCCCATGCTGCTGCTGTTCTGCTTCTTGCAGGGAACAGGATGGGGGAGCCGAGGCCAGCCTCAGCTCCCCCACCCTCTCTTTGGTCCTCAGCGTGTCTTTGGAATCATGACAGCATTCCCCCGTGCTTGGAACACTCTGATTGGCTGTTTCCACCAGCCAATCAGAGCACAAATAAAGCACCGTGGATAGACGGAGACAGACAGACAGACTTAGGCTTTTATAATATTAGAATATATAATATTAGAATGTATGCCTGGGATATATGTCTGTCCGGGATATATGTCTGTCTGTGTGTCTGTCTGTCCATAATGCTCTTGGGGGGCATGACTCATGGCAAGGTATAGCTCTAACCAGTGCTGCGCACGTAGCAAATTTCCCATCAAGAATGATGGTAGGGATGGAGTGTCGTCAGGACAGCGGGGATGGAGGGGATGGAGTGGGGGGAGTGGTGTCATGGGGTCGGACATGGAGTGGGGGTGGGGGAGAATGACAGAGGGGATGGAGCGGTGCTGGCCATGCCCCCCATCAGTCCTGCTCTTTGGAGGCACTGGCAGTACGGGGTGGTAGCGGTGTAGCTCTAGCCTCACTCTCTCTCCGTCCCCGCCATCATGGTGGCGCACCATCCTTGCCATCATTCTTGACGGGCAATTCACTAGTAATATATGTGTGTGTGTGTGTGTGTGTGTGTGTGTGTGTGTGTGTGTGTCAAATGAGGTAACAGAATTTCCACACACTTGAAAAAAAGTGCTTACTTGGCTTGTTGTCTTTCTCAAGACAGCTCATGCTGACTCCTAACAGGATTTGGGTATGGAGACAAAGAGTTAGAAGAACGTGCCAGTGTGTAAATAAAAATGAGTAAATAGCAGTGATAAATAGCTTTTATTCTTTATGGTTTGGCTTTTAGTGTTCTCAGGGATTTACTGTGCACACTGGGTGAAATGCTGTGCATCAGTCATGACTACATATAACCCATTTTACAGGGATAAAGTCCAGCATGTGAAAATTCTTGTTGGGTTGCTGAAAAGTTTTATTTTGTTGTTCTTTCCTCTTATTGTTCCTGTAACTGTGAAAATGACTGGCCAATCACAGAAAAAAAATAAAATTAGTTACTTTTATCTTTTCCCCTTCATAACCTCTTTTTCAGGAGACACATTAGAATTTCCATGATGTCACTCCCTTTCCTTACAGATGGGCCCAGACCATTTCCATTAGCTAGAGAGTCTTTTCTTCACAACCAGCCATGGATTCCCTTATTGCAGCATTTCCCAAATTCTGGGGTGCATCCCCCTCCAGGGGGGCACAAAAGTTTTGTTGGCAAGCATGCAAATCATGATGTCATTTGGTAGTGCCCTGCTACTTCAACCACTCTTGCACCCCCTGTGCTTCAGCCATTGCTATCAGTTCTGTCGTGACCTGTTTCCTTGCCCCTTACTTCAGCCTCTGCTTCCTCTGCCACTGATTTCTGTCACTGGTGATTGCACAGGTGATTTATAATAGTGTTAAATATGTTTAAAGATTTCAATTCACAGTTACCACAGCAGAATAGTAGTCTGACAGTGGGCCTACATGAGATGCTTCATTGTGTATTAGACTAATCGAATGTGCAGTTCGGTGTCACCATCTACATGTGTGTAGCAATTATGGCACAGTAGATTAATTTAAAGTACTGTTTATTAGTAGCTGAAAATACAGGTACAAGGAAACAGTGCTTTAAATGAATGTGCTGAAGCACATATGTAGATGCTGACCAGGAGCAAATTGGTCCCTATCAGCCTAGGTAGCAGGAGGCCACAGTGGGCAGGGGAAGCTGTCTTGGCTTGGCGGGCAGCTCTCTGCCAGTTGTGGGGAGATTGGGTCAGGCCCCGAGCCCCAGGAGGCAGAGGGAGCTGTCCTGGCTTGGCAGGAAGCTCCCAGCCTGCCACATGCAGATTGGGCCCATGATCTGTGCAGGGCAGGTGAAAGCTGTCTTGGCTCATCAGGCAGCTCCTTGCCTTCTGTGCGCAGATTGGGGCCAGCTCCCTTCCCTGCCCCGTGCAGATAGAGGCTCCCCCCAGAGCTAGAACAGCTAGGGGCTGGCACCTGGGGGGACATGGATCTGCCCTTGACTGCTGCAGGGGGCAGAGCAGGACAGGAACAGCCCTAGGTTGCTTCTGTCGGATGCAATTTGCTCCCAACGTGGCAACATGTAGACACATGCCCAGGAGCACTTTAATGAGCCTGAATTTTCTGTGAAGAAAATTAATTGGCACATTAATTGCATGTGTAGATGTGCCCTGAACGTACTATAGTGAGTTTAATTGACTAATTAATAAGAAAGCAGTATCACCCTCATAAATTGAGTTAGCCACTTTGAGCAATAATCCAGGTGCTTTTTGAATAGAGAAGAAGTGAGCTCAGACACTTGAATGTTGTCATCTCTCTGTGGTAAGGGCCATTCTTTTGGTCAAAGGTGCTTGTGCATATATAGCCCAGAAGAGCTGCTGTCCTAGTGCTGCTGAAACGTTATTGCTATTAATAATCAGGAGGAGCATATTTGCTCTAGACCAGGGTGGTTCCTACATGTGGCCTAGGAGGAGTTAATTTGTGGCCCCCAGGCTCCCACCATCTCTCAGACTGCAGCAGCAACCAGGGTCTTCTGGCTCCACCTCCCTCCTCCAGCTTCCACTTCATGTCCCCGGACATCCCTGCTCTAGACATTCTGGACCCATGGATATTTCAGAGTTTCTCAGAGATAAGTAATAAACTTTATCACTACTTTCATCCCAAGGGGCCCTATTTCCTGGGTGATTCTTAACTAGCAGACAGCCTTTGTTACTACTATGCCATTACTGGGACCATCCTCATTATCTAAAAAAGAAGAGCAGCTATATATGCCATGACTGTCCAGGTGTGAAAAGAGAGCTATGGGAAATGGGGATTTTTTGTTTTTAACCCACTGATTCTGGCTCCAGGTTAGAAAAGCACTGAACAAAGTGCTAAACCCATACTTTATTCACAGTGAAATGCATAAACTTATGCTTAAACTGAAGTCTGCCTTGTTTGGGGCAAAACGTTTGATCCTGTTCCCACTGAAGTCAGTGAAATGGTTCCTACCAACCTCAGTGGGAGTCTTTGGATGGGGGCCCTGAATGCTACACAAAAACATTAGATGAATGGCTTCAACTCATCTGTATGTCAGTTCAAGGATAATAGCATGATGATATCTTCTGATGGAAAATGAGAAGAGTTGGATGATACTGTTACTAGATGTTGGTATCTATATGGAATAGATTCAGAGAAGATTCAAAGATATCAGCTTTGGCCAGTGATACCTGAAATGTTTCCTAGCAGATTAATTCAAAGATTTATTTTCCCACATTCAAGTCATTGAAGCCTCTCATTACACTTGTTCTATGTATTGTAATGAATGCAAATGCAAGGCTACAATTATCTCATTATGTAGTTCTATGCTGCTTTTATAACACCAGGATATTGGGGCCCTACAATGAACCTTCAGCTTCCTTAAAGGATTTCCTGAAATGTAGGAGAGAAAATGACACCTCCTTACACACTCTGGTTCTAGCCCTTTCCTTCTGAGGTTTAATTTTGCCCAGCAAGGATTTGTCCTGGTAATTCCTCATTCTTCCTACCCTTAAATTTCATCCAGTTATTTGTGAAGTCAGTGGAACACCTCCCATTGTTTTCAGTAGTCCTTGGATCAAACACTCACCTAGGTTTCTAAGAATGATCTTCTAGCAGTCTGGATAAAGAATTGTGCTGGGCTTTTTAAAATGCCCTTTCATGTTACTGATCCATGAGGGACAAAGAATTTGAAATTAATATCCTCTTTTTGTATCAGTAACTAGAAGACAGTTGTGGCCTGTATTGTTCACTGTGGGTGTATCTACATGAGACCTTTTACTTGAGATTAATGCAAATTTTTGTGCAGTAAGCATCACTGTCTACATGTGCAGACTCTTACTGTGCAGTAATTTGCTCTAATCATGAGTAGATTTGCTACGTGTAAATACAAATAGCAAATTTACTTGCAATTAGTCACTGCACAGTACAGCATGTGTACAGGGCTGACTGGGAACAAACTTGTTTCTGATTAGCTGGGCAGCAGGGGAGGAAGATTGCACCCTGCCACCAGGAGCTGACTCCTTCTGGAGCAGGTCCTGCCACTGGAGCCCTGGTGAGGGCAATCTCCGCCTGCCTCTGTAGCAGGATCTCCCAGCCCCTGATCGGGATCGCAGAGTGGGGGCTGGAAACAGGCTGCTAGATTGTTCTCAGCCCCTGCTCCGTGATTGCGATTGTGGACCAGGGGCTGGGAACAGGCTGGGAATGAGCTCCCAGCCCCCATTCCATGATCGCGAAGCAGGAAACAAGCTCCCTAGCCCCAGTGCCACAGTTGTGGACTGGGGGCTGTGAGCTCCCTGCATGGGAAAAATTCCCTACCCAGCCTGGAGCTGGCTGGGACCCCTGACCAGGACCACATGCAGCCTGGAAATGGCTGGAGACTGTCCCATTTCAGGCAGTCCTCAACTAGCTCTGGGCTGCATGTGCAGACTTCCCTGCACAGCCTGGGGCTGACCGGAATCAGAGGCAGGTCCTAGCCCCATGCCCTGATCAGGAGATTGGGGAGTGGGGCTTGGAAAGAGCTGCAGGGGAGGGGCAGGTCCCAGCCCCCTGCCCATATCTGCCAGTAGAACAGCTAGCAGTGAATCCCTGCCCAACTGGGGGCTCACTGCTAGCTGTCCCTGCCCCTGCTCCGTACTTGAGGATTAGCACACTGAGGCAGGGAGGGAGGTGGGGTTCAAACCCACTCGCTGGCCCACATGGGACCCCAGTCAGGGTCTGCCTTGGGCAGGGCAGCACCTGCCAGGCTTCTGGCCCCCTGCTCCCCACTTGTGGGAGTGGGGGGCAGTCCCTGCCAGGTTTTTGCCCCCACTGCTCTTTGCTTGAGGGGAGAGCAAGAAGGGACAAGGCCTGAGAGGGGGTTTAAACCCCCTCCCTGTCCCAAATAGGACCCCAGCCCCAAATTTCCTGGGAGGCAGTGGGAAGCAGGGGGAAAGAAGCCTTGCAGGGGATTCCCCCTCAGGCAGACCCTGGTTGGTGTCCCATGAAGGTCAGGGGCATTTAAACCCACCTCCCTCTCCACCTCAATGTGCGGGTCCCAGGCAAGAGGTGTGGCTATGCCCCCTGCTCTCCCTTTGAGTGGAAAATTGTGAGGGCAAAACCCTTGAGTGGGGAGCAGGAGTCCAGAAGCCAGGCAGGGGCTGCCTCCCACCAGTAGACCTGGGCAGGGGTTCCATGCAGGACAGGGAGGGTGCTTAAACCTCCCCAGAATGCTGGGGCCTGGCCACGCGTCCTCCACTCTGCTTGAGAGGGAAGCGTAGGTGCAGAAAGCCTGTGAGGGGCTGAAGCACTCCCTAGCAGGCCTTGATTGGAGTCCAGACCTGAGTTCCCCAACCTCACCCCCTTCTTAGCCAGTCAGGGCACCCTGGCTAGGGAGTAGAGGGACAGGGAAAATCCCTGCTTGGCTGGAGCAGACAGCATAGACCAGCCTTGGGTTTGAAAGCATCCTGGGATTCTGGGGGACCAGTTAACTTGAACTGGAAAGGGTACTGGGACAAAAGTTCCATAAACTGGTTTCACCAAAATCAGTTAAGTCTGATACTATATGTATCCAGGTTTATCTTAAACCGGTTTCAGCCATTTTGAATGCAGCTTAAATGCACTAAACTTCTGTCGTGTTACAGATTTGAACTGGTTTCTGATCACTAGTTTATATGTAACTTCTGTCCCTAGCCAGATCTTTCCTTAAGCAGCTCAACATAGTTTCCTTAATGTCAGTGGAATGGACTACACTGATTATAACAGTTGAAGATCTGGCTGTTCATTTTCTTTTAAAGCAAGATTATTTTTCCTTTTCCATTTTTCTGTTTTGTTTTTGAAATAACCAGAATTAAATGCCACTGGGTTTTCAGGTTTTTGTTTTGTTTTTAGTTTGTTTTTTTTAAGTAATAATTTAAAATCTGTTGATAACTGATACTCTATTCCTTTTTTTTCTCCTAACCCTTCATCATTAGTGATCTTAATAGAACTCCAACTTAAATTTGGTCTGTTTTAATTTTTAATATATAACTGCAGCTTTCACAGTCTCTTCAAAGCCCTAACCCAAGTCCCATGGAAATCAGTGGAAAGACTCTTGGAGGCTGCACTTGAGTTCAGCA